GGAAGAGGGAGGTCTCCTCTGCGTTGGAAAGACCAGGTGAAGAAGGACTTGGCTTCACTTGGCATTTCCAATTGGCGTCAGTTAGCACAGAAGAGAAATGACTGGCGTGCTGTTTTGGACTCTGCCAAAATAGATTAGGCGGTTAAAGCGCCAATAAAGAAAGAAGAAGACGCAAGCCGGGAGATCGTGACTACCTGACAATATGTCATCGACATAAGTTACTTTTGTTAAGATTCAATTGGCCCAGGGATGAGTGTCTTTTGAGTCATTTACCAACTGGTGCAAAGTCCGAATGGAGCGCAATTAACTTCAAAGGTAACGGTCTTGAGTGCAAAATCGGTTCACTTGGTTTCATTTTTTTTTGCGGAAGATAATTCGCTGGTAATGTTGATCGTCTGCGTGCAAGAGAATTTGACAATACATTTTTTGTATGTCAATTAAAGACATGTTTATACAGACGCCAATTTAGAATGACAGACATGAGGTCTGTTTGTAGAGTAGGTCCAATGTGACGTATGTCGTTAAGAGACGTACCAGATGCCGGTTTTGAGGCATTAAATACCAAACGGGCGTTTGTGGATTTACTGTCTGGTTTAACTACTAAGTGGTGGGGTAGATCATATGAAAAGAACTTTCCATTTTGACCAATTTCTTCGGGAGTGATGACTTTCACGTGGTCGAGATGTAGATATTCGTCTAATACACGATTCTCGGGTGGACTCGGGTTCTTACTGAGCATATGCTCCATTCTAAGCGCCTGCTTCATTGCTTGAGCCCGAGATGGACCCAGAGTGAGATTTGAGGAGAAATCTGATTTAAATGGTAGCCGGACTACGTAGCGTCCATCGCTCTGCCCATAAGTTTTGTTCCTGATAGACTTTTTCGCAAAATTGGGCTTCAGCGGAAGGTGGATGGGGCTCTGATATCTCTTCTAACTCCCAGAAGCGTTTAAGTTGGGAATCAATACTTTCGTTTGGGTCTGCTACCACGTGCGTATGGTAAGCGAAGCATGAATTCGGTTTTAATGGACCACTCAAATACCAGCCGAAAATTGTATTTTACGCGAGAAGGTTTCCCAGGACCTGATGTTTGATGCCTTGAAGGAGTATTTCTGGTATTAGGTCACTACCTATTACCATATCGATTGGACCGTGAGTGTAGAAATATGGATCAGCAAGGTCTAGATCCTTGATTTCTACGAGATTCGGTTTTGGAANTCCCAGAAGCGTTTAAGTTGGGAATCAATACTTTCGTTTGGGTCTGCTACCACGTGCGTATGGTAAGCGAAGCATGAATTCGGTTTTAATGGACCACTCAAATACCAGCCGAAAATTGTATTTTACGCGAGAAGGTTTCCCAGGACCTGATGTTTGATGCCTTGAAGGAGTATTTCTGGTATTAGGTCACTACCTATTACCATATCGATTGGACCGTGAGTGTAGAAATATGGATCAGCAAGGTCTAGATCCTTGATTTCTACGAGATTCGGTTTTTTTTTTTTGTCAAATGTTAAAAGAAAACTTGTTAGTTTTTGAAGAACAATCGCTCGGGAGTTGAGGCGAATGTTGCATCTTTGGAAACAAGGGTAATGTGGCAGACACGGTTGGAATTTTCCACTATCTTGCCACCCATTCCAGTTACAGAAAGGTTTTCTCTGTGTGTAAGTATTTGTAACCGTTTTTGTACTTTCTCAGAAATGAAAGTTTTTTGCGAGCCTTGATCAATGAGCACGCGTAGGGAAAAGAGGGTACCCAAGTGATCAATGTGAACTAATGCTGTTGGAAGTAGCGTGCTCTCATGGTTGGTAGAGAAGTTCACTTGGATATGGGGATGGCATTTCCCAGCGAGACTGGAGGTCTTGCATCTTTACTTCAAGTACAGAGTCAGTCTGTTCTTCTTCACTTGGATATGGGGATTACTGTCTGCTGAGGACGTAGGAGATTCCTCGGAGTTGCCTTCAGTAATGTCGAGTATTGGATGCCTGGACTTACTTGAGAGTGCAGCAGTTTGGGTGTGCAACAATGGGCTTCGATTTGTGGATGATGATGTTGCAGATGGATTCCTGACGGGTGCCTTGGAGTCTGGCTTTTGATTGGATTGATATGGATGTAACATTGTCNGCCTGGACTTACTTGAGAGTGCAGCAGTTTGGGTGTGCAACAATGGGCTTGGATTTGTGGATGATGATGTTGCAGATGGATTCCTGACGGGTGCCTTGGAGTCTGGCTTATGATTGGATTGATATGGATGTAACATTGTCTGGTGAGATCTTTTACAATGTAGACATCTGAACAAACTTTGGCAATCTGCCAGAGTATGATTGTATGCTAAACAATTGGTACAATACTTATTTTGCTCCACAAACCTGGTGCTTTCGAGAACTTTAAGTTTCTTAAATTCGGGGAAAAATATCAGGCATAGGTTTGCATGTGAACGAGAGGTGTTCATTGGAGTGGTACGATTGAACCTTTTGAGGCGTTTTGTGTGGGAGTGAACTACGGCATTTCGTGGCGTTATGATTGTGCAGACGTTCTACCACTTCATACCTACTGGTAAGAAATTCATCCATCTGTGACCATTTGGGTAAGTCTTTTCTGGATTTCAGCGACTGCTCCCATAGAGAAAGAGTTTCCTCTGGGAGTTTGGTAGAGCAAATATATATAAGTATAGGATCCCAGTTGGCTGTGGAAATTCCTTGAGAATTTAAACACGAAAGGCAATCATTGATCGTGTTTTGAACTTTCTGAATACCTTCGCTGTTTTCGGATGAAACCGAAGAAATTTTGTTTGTTTTCGAATCGGGCCCTTAGAGCTTCCCAGGCGAGAGTAAAATTTTCATCGCATAATTTGTAGTGTTTGACTATGGCAACCGCTTTCCCCCGGGTTTTATTTCGCAAGTGGTATAGTTTTTGCGCAGGTGTGAGCTTGGGATCGTTAAGGTATACGGCCGTGAACATATCCCGAAAGGATGGCCCATCTTCATAGCTACCATAAAATATTAGGGTGTTGCACGGGGTACCTTTATACAAGGTCTCGAATTATCGATGAGAGAAGTAGATTGACGGGATGTGCCATGGGTGTCACTTGAGCTGCCCTGGGAAACCTTCATTTGGTCTAAGATATGAGACTTGCATATATAATAACCGTCCGCGCACATTTAAAATTTAGTGTGCGCTTTTTCCTTGAATTTGGAAGAAATCGATCTGTCATCGGCGATACAGACTTTTTCGTATGAAAGTCTCAGCATTTCCCAGCGAGACTGGAGGTCTTGCATCTTTACATCAAGTACAGAATCAGTCTGTTCTTCTGGATCTTCTTTGTCGAAGTGAGAGCAGAAATTCACTACATTGTTGGAATCGAAGATGAACTTCGCCATTAATGCGGAAGCGACTGGCATGTTTGGATAAGAATGAACTTTTAATGTTGGGAATAGAAAAAAGTTACGCCCTTAAATTTGGATAAACAGCAAGAGCACGAAAGGAATGGCCTCAAGTGATAAGAGGTTTCACTTAAGCGCAAAGACTTTGTAGGCCAATGCAATTGCGATAATAGGTCATTTATAGTTCAGCTCTTGGCTTGGAAGATTTTGGGAAAAAATTTCCTTTGCTTATTTACCAGCCAAAAAATTTAGCGAAAACTATTGAACGAAGCTTAATACCAGACGTCTTATCTACGGGTGATATGTATATCACAATTGGAAAAGCTTCGTTTAGAAATAATTGTAATTTTGTATGATAATTAAATTTGCTCTTAGCAGAAACAAGTGCTGAATAAATTCAAAGTATATTTGAGGTTAACGAAAAGTATTGAATTCGATTTAAATTTGGGATAAAAACCGAAAATTGTATGCACCTTAATAGTATTGACTGATATCGTACGGAGTAAGTCAGGATGTACTATTTTTTCCTACTGGGAAAATCCGTTGCTGTTTTGCTACTGGGCAAACGCACTATTCGCGTTAGCTAAACTCCGTTTTGCTTAGACCCCTTTTAGACACGTCAAGTCTTGCTTTAAAGTCTGCTCGGTTCGCAGGCGACAGAGGTAAAAAGAGAGAGGAATAGTACATTCATCTCACCTCCTTCACCTACGAACGGGCAGACTTGAAATCAAGACTTAACGTGTCTGAAAGGGGTCTTAGCAACTTGATACATACATGCACACAAATTCTAATAACAATTTAAAAAAACTGTTTGGTTCAACGCCAACACAAACTAAACTTCACTGATGTACACATACAAGTGTTTGTATGTACTACAAATATACGCACACCAACTATTGATTAAACTTTATGTAAACCGGTAGAAGCCGTGTATTTTAGGCCACCAAAAACTTAGTCAGTTCGGTTCAGATAGGAGACGAAAACCGAAAATTGTAATCACTTTTTACATAAATACCATTTATACAACGTTCGGAGTAAATTCGTTGTCGTTTGGCTACTGAATACATGCACTTTGCTCGTTAACTAAATTTCATTTTGCTGCGCAAATTGATACATACATACAGATTCTAATAAGAAACTGGAACGAGTGAAAAATCTTTCCAGCTGAGCGCCGAAGCAAACGTTTTATTTAACCGAGTACATAGGTATATATGTACGCATGTGTGTGCAACACTCAAAGTGAAAAACCGATACGCTGTAATTGCTATAGTTGCCGGCGCGGGTAGCGCAGAAACATAGGCACAAATATTTTGAGGGTTGATACGAAATACTTAGAGTAAACACGAAATGAAATGGAATTGAATGCATATGTATGTGCATTAACATATGTAAGCAGTAGTGGGATTCACTAACTTTTAACAACGCGACTTGTCGAGTTGTAAACTAGCAATTTTTGTTGTTTGCAGTAACGACAGTGTGATTCACTAACGTATCTTTAACAACACTAAACAGCTGACTTTTGGTATTTATTTAAATTGATAGAAAGTGGCATCTCTGAAAATTAAACGTCAAATATACGAAAAACGCAAAGAGGATTGCAAAAAAAACATTGCAATTCCCACCTAGTTCGAATGCAAATTTATGAAAATAAATGAAGTAAGTNATAGAAAGTGGCATCTCTGAAAATTAAACGTCAAATATACGAAAAACGCAGAGGATTGCAAAAAAAACATTGCAATTCCCGCCTAGTTCGAATGCAAATTTATGAAAATAAATGAAGTAAGTATATTTAATTATTATTTATATGTAGATAATTTACATTTGTATATTTTCAGCATGTCCTCAACGAGCAAAGCAGCATCTAAAAGAAGCCGGGCCTCAACCGAGCAACTCAGCGGAATGGTGGACTTTTTCCTCGAGAACCCGGGACTGGCTGCCGGAAAGTTTCAGCGGCTCCATGGGAAGTTGGAGCATGAGAAAAAGTGGGAGGAGATGGCGACTAAGTTAAACGCTATGGGAGGAGCGCAGAAGTCTGCTGATCAATGGCGCACGGTAAGTAGTAATCAATTTGTCATTAATACAAGGAGCGGTGCGTGCGAGTTGAGTTGGACAAAGCTCCACTTTTTGTGTATACGTACATTAGCACGTAGATTGACGTTTTTACGCATTCTATATGTTAAATAGTGCCAGTAAATATCTATTCCAATAAGGTAAAATATCTAAGTTAGACAATGACTTTGATATAGTGCACCATTACTGTTATAAGTTAAAATCCATCGAAGTTTTTTGTTTAGATTTGACGGGTATATTCGAAAAGGGGATGAAATTTTCCTAGTGTTTATAGGTTAACGCTACCATTGGCAAGCATACGCAAGAAATGATACATTACACTAAAGTCAAGAAACAACTTTAGCAGTTTTTCCTTATTGGCAGATACTAAATACATATGTAATACGTATGTATCCACNCCTAGTGTTTATAGGTTAACGCTACCATTGGCAAGCATACGCAAGAAATGATAACTTAACACTAAAGTCAAGAAACAACTTTAGCAGTTTTTCCTTATTGGCAGATACTACATACATATGTATATACGTATGTATTCATATTAATTGATAACACTAATGTATGTATATCTTTTTTACTTAAAGGTATGGCGTGATTTAAAAAGTCGCACCAGTAATCGGGTGCGCGATCGCAAGAGACAGCAGGCCATAACCGGAAACAGGCCCATCAACCAGGTTCCACAAACAGAGCTGGAGCAGCGTGTGGTTGCTATTATTGGCAGCCACTATATAGAGGGCCATCAATCCGTGGCAGAAAATGTGCCAATGGAAGATGTAAGTTTTTATTAAGCTATTTCAAACTTATAACTAACTAGCTTATACCCGCGAGTTTCACCCCGCGCTTTTATACAAATAGGAAAAATAATTTAATGATGTTAGATTTTATTTCTGTGCCCGTTTCGTTATAGCTCGTTATTTTTTAAGCGAGTTAAGGTATTAAGGCCGTTTAAAGCTATGAAATTATAAAATCTTGTCTGCGCGCTAGGCATACGAAATATATCAATCCCTCTAAGCTTACCTTAAAATGTTTCCAGGTATACGACGCGTGAACGTGAAACCTTCTTGGAGGTGCCACGGCGAGTTCTAATATTTCCAACTCAAATTTAGTAACCTGGCCTTGATAAAATACCACTTCTCATTACTGTAGCAAATGCCTCAAGAGAGCTTTAGATTATAAGGTCGAACCCGGCTCCCCCTTTTCCATTTAATGAAATTAGTTCTGTCTTCCACAAACACCTCCAGGGATATGTGGCAAGAAAAAGTAAATTTGTACTGGAAGTGCCACGCCCCTTTTTCTTATAACCCTAATCTTCTTCCATGAATTTAGAATTGATTTTACATACCCCAGTACCAAGTCCCAGTACTCTACCATGAACACCTCTAGAGATAAGCAGTATAAAACAGTAAATTTGTACGGCAGGAACCATGTCCCCTTTTCGAATAACGCAAATTCTTCTCTATGAGTATGGAATTAATTTTGTATACACATCTCGGTGCCAAGTTCCAGTCCTCTGCAATAAACACCTCCAGAGATAAGCAGCATAGAAAAATCAATTTGCATGGGAGTTGCCACACCACCTTTTCCAATAACTCTAATTTTTCTCCATGAGTATGGTATTAGTTTCACATACATACATACATATGTATTTCCATACCAAGCTTGAGTGCTTTACCCCAAACATTTGAAGAGATATGCAATATGAAACTTTCAGTCAGTATGGGAGGTGCTACGCCTCTTTTCCAAAAACGTCCATTTTTCTCCGTGAATATGAACATGATTTCACACAGTGTTGGCAAACTGTTAATCTGATTAACGACTAAACATTAACGATTAAAATGTTAATCGCGTTTGACGATTAAAATTAATTAGTCGTAATCAACTGTACGATTAATGATAACATTTTTTTAATCGTTAATCGCTGGCTGCGATTACGTTTAATTAATTTAAAACATTAATCGTTAATCCAATTAAAAATAAAATCTGATTAATTTGTCTAGTTTGTCCGAGTTTGAAACCAAACACCAGTTATAGTAATTATTTTGTGTTTTACGCTTATAAAAAGCACATAATATAAAAAAATTATAATTATTGTTATTAGTAATACATAAACTGGGAACTTTTACAAACCTAGTTTGTAAAACGTTTGTTGGTATATATCTTAATGAAAATGCACACCAAATTGCTCAGATTGATGAGGAAACCCGACTTAGCCATACCGGATTAACTTGCTTTGTGTGCACAGGGAAATTCCAGCATAACTTAATTAATCACCAAACCTACTTGATCAAATTAAGAGTTAATGATTAAAAATTAATTTTTTAATCGCGGTTACGATTAACTGTTTAGTCGGATTAAAATTAATCATGATTAACTGTAATCAGATTGAATTTAATCGAATTAACTAACTAATTAAAACATCAATCGATTAATGCCAACATTGATTTCACATACATATCACTATACCAAGTTTCAGTTCTCTCCCACAAATACTTCCAGAGATATGTATGTAATATGAAAATTCCAATTTGTATGGGAGGGGCCTTGAGTTATCGGACTTACTTTCAGTCTAAGACCATCCTTCCGAAATCCGTAGTAAGTGTACTAAATTTCGTTCTGATCGGAAAACCGGTTAAGGAAGTAGCCTATTTTTCAATCCAGGTCATAAACCATCTTTGAGCAAAATTTAATTTTCAAACAGGTGGCAATTCTTAAAAAAGTAGCCTATTTTCCAGTCTAGGTCATAAGCTATCTGTGTGCAAACTTTCATGCAAATCAGTTCAGTCATTTACGCGTATTAATTTAATTAAACTTTCCTAATACGTGATAACTCTTAAAATAGTAGCCTATTTTCCAACATAGGTCATAAGCTATCTCTGTGCGAAATGTCATGCAAATCTGTTCAGTCGTTTCCGCGTATTAATTTAATTAAAACTTTTTTAACAGGTGGCAACTCTTTCAAAAAATTAGCCTATTTTCCACTGTAGGTCATAAGCTATCTGCCTGCAAAATTTCATGCAAATCCATTCGATCGTTTCCGCGTATTAATTTAATGAAACTTTTTTAACAGGTGGCAACTCTTAAGAAAAGTAGCCTATTTTCCAATCTAGGTCATAAGCTATCTGTGTGCAAATTTTAATGCAAATCCATTCAGCCGTTCCCGCATATTAAATAAATTAAACTTTTTAACAGGTGGCAACTCTTAAAAAAATAGCCTATTAACGAATCCGGCCCATAAGCCATCTGCGTGCAAAATTTCATGCAAATCCGTGCAGTCGTTTCCGCGTGATGATTTCCCAAACATCCAAACATACAAACTTTCACATTTATATTAGTAAGATAAGATAAGATAAGATAAGATAAGATTACTGTTTTTATTACCATTAGGAGCTTCAATTGTACCTTGAGGACGGGGAAGAAATTATTGAGAGAATATCTCCAGAGTCCTACGTCGAAGCTACTTGCGAAGCTACTTGCGACACCCCTACAACTCCTGCGCAGAAAACAGCGCGCAGGAGTTTGAAGAGAAAGAGAGAGGAGGATGAGAGCGAAGTCCAGAAGAAATTTCTGGACATTGCTCAAACCCAGGCAGATTCTATGAAATTAGCAAATAAAATACTCGCTATGTTTTGTTTTGTTGTCAAATTTCTGAGAAATGTGAATTCACCACGATGCGATACAGAAAGAACAAGGACCAGGGATGTAATTTTTAGTAAATCTATTATTCAGTGGCAAGGCGCAGAGCGATCGGGGCAGCAATATTAATTTGTATCAAATATAACTTTAAACGGTGGTTCTAATACATTTTTTGATATTATTAACCAGAGTACATACACTATATGGTATTTCTTTCAAAAATTAATATACTATATGAACTTTTTTTTCAAATATTTCTTAAGTTTCTTTCATGAGTGCTGAAAAGCAACCATGCGTGTAAGAAATTGTGTGCTACCTAAAATTTCACCTCTGGAAACTTTATCCCCATAAAGGACTTCACCACAGTTTTTTTACTGGATATACTGAGCCATCAATACTCGAATATTCAAAAGTCCCCCTAACAACATCCATCTTCTCATTGTTTAAACTGCGCGCATTAAAATGGACAACATTAGAGCCTTTCTGTCGGCTGCATAAAATGTTCAGTACTGCAAGGCTATTACCATCAACGCTACTTAATTTGTTCGTCATAACAATTGCAAGAAGCAAAAACAAAAGCAGCTTTAAGATAGTGAAGAAATGACGAAAAACAGAAATAAAAAAACGCAAGTTGCGCTATTTTTACAAAATATAAAATACAACAAAAAACATTTGAAAATATATGCATAACAATATATCTAACGAAACGGCAGCAGGTCATCTTCGCTGATTAACTTTGTTGAAGTGCTATTATTATTTTTGTTATTGTCATCTCTCACATGCACAAAACCCCTAAACGTAAACACCTTTAGCAGTTTACCTTCACGACGCAGTTTTATGGCCTCATGCAGTAAACGTCTATTCTCCTTGGCGAGGCTCTCAAAAATATGAAAGCTGCCAGCAATGCCAAGGGGGTGAAGGGGAACTGCCGATTTTCTTTTCTTGCGATATTCGCTAAAGGCGCGTCAAGTGCGGTTACCNGCTCTCAAAAATATGAAAGCTGCCAGCAATGCCAAGGGGGTGAAGGGGAACTGCCGATTTTCTTTTCTTGCGATATTCGCTAAAGGCGCGTCAAGTGCGGTTACCGTCGAGAGGGGAGTGAAATTTAATCACAATCGCACTGTTGAGTTTTTCACTTGACGGTTTTGTGCGGAAAATATCCTTAATTTGAGGAGTCAAGAAGTCAATAGAAAGACCAACCTGGTTAAAAATACTCTTAAGGTTTTCCCCTTCTCTAAAGGGTACACCAAAAGCAACAGCATCGTCAGCAATATCAGGTGAAGCTTTCCGTGGCATTACACCTTCCAACTCCTTCTTAATGCAAGCGATGTCCGCCTCTGCCTTTTGCACATTCCCCTCCAAGACAGATATGCGGGCAGACGACTCAACCACCGTAGCAGTGAGGACAGATATCTCTTCTTCGATTCGCTTTGCCTGTTTCTTCTTCACCTCAGCCAGTTTGTTTGAGACACTCCCAAATAGCGGCCGCAACTGTTCCGTCTGCTGCTGAACTCTCTCCTCAATCTCTTTTAATTTACCAAAAACAGCTGCGAGTGAGTTACCTTCGTCGAGCTTAACTGCTTTAGCAGCGGGGAAATCTTTGCTCAGTCGACGCTTGAGTGACGAAGAAGAGGCAGACAATTTATCCGTAGCAGCCGTGGTAGCCGACATCACGATTAACATGCAATTTGTTATGAATTTACCGATGAATAAATAAATAATAAATGCACAGCGCCAAACTTGAGGTGTCGAAAATATTAGGGACACAGGCCCGCGATTAACTATATTGATTGAAATTAAATAAAAATTGACTGAAACAACACAACAGCTGAAGCGATTATTGATTTTTGCGATTATTGAGATTGCGAGACGAGCGAGATGAAAGAAAACACGTCCGTTCCGTTTTTTTAGGTTTATTTTCTTTTTCGATGGTCACCTTATTGCCTTTTTATAATCAAGACGTTGCCATTTTTAACTAAATTTTCTTTTTAAATGGTCATAATATGCGCGTTCCTTATCTCCCAGAAATAGTCAGAAAAAGTCCGAAGTAGTCAGATTTAGTCCAAAAAGCGTTCCTTAACTCGGAAATGACAGCAAAAATGAGAGAGCAACAGTCAGTGAGAGCGACTCTCATCAGTCCGAAGTAGTCAGATTTAGTCAGAAGAATTTTTTCTGGCAAAATCCTGAAAAGTGTCAAACTCAACTGAATTTAAATTAACGGAAATTAAAGAATACGCAAAAAGTGAGAATAATCTAAAAAGTAAAAGAAATGAATTGAAATTGGAAGGAGGCAAAAAATAATTGATATAGCAAGTGTTTATTGTGCTTGTGCTTGTGTGAATGTGTTTTGTACATACATTTCTGTTCTTATTTGACGTTAGTTTTGTTGTTGCCATTCTTTGGACTAAAAATTTGGTTTTTTGCGTTCCTTTACTTTTCCTGTTACTCTCTTTTAGTGAGCGCATTTTGCTTACGCTCTGGCATTTTGACACTTTTCAGATTTTAGTCCAAAAAGATAAGGAATGAACCTATTATTGCCTTTTTATAATCAGGCAATATTATAAAAATTTTCACCATCGAATAAACAGTGAGTTAGGTATTTGCAAGCTATTTTTATTTGCTAATAGCTTACGTATAAACGTAGTATATGAAAGAGTTAAAATGGTGATTACAATAAAACACAATTTTAACCGTTAAAACCTTTTTCTAACTTCTCTATACACCATGAACTTTGACTTGGCTAAGTTTGGGATTTTTATATCATATTTATCACTCATTTTATTTTCTATTGCCCTTTTTGATTTTTTTCACGCTCAACCTCATTTTCTGTTTGAATTACGACAGCCCCACTTTTCCTACCCTGTACACTATCAATTTGCAAGCCCGACATTTTTGCAAGGTCAACATTTTTGTTCAAGTCTTCTTTTGTTTTTCCCACTTCGAGCTTCTATTTGGTTGTAGAACTAATGGCTCCTCTTTATTTACTTTCGGCTCCTTAATATCTTTCGCATTGTTACCTTTAAAGAAATCCGCGTAAGTGACTTTCGCCCGCTGACTTGCTAACGCGTCAGCAGTCACCGATTTCTTGATCTCTTCACAAATTTTTTTGTTCTCCTTTTCATTCCGGACTATGGCTTCGCAAAGATCATGGCTTTGCTTTTTTACGCCGTCAGCTATTGACCTAATTTGGTTCACTTCGAGAATACTCGCCTCAGGTTTTTTGTCCTTTTTGCATTGCATCAATGCGTTCCCCAAATTTTTTGCTCTATTGATTGCGAGAGAAGTTTAAGCTCTTTCACTTGTATTTTTTGCGACTCCTGGAAGTCATCATTACACTCTTGGATCCTTTGACTATTTTTATCTATTGTTAAGTTCATATTTCGGAGCACTTCATCAATGTTATGCATGTATGTGTGACATTGGTTACACATAAAGCGCACAAAGTTGTTTTCCTTGTGTACATTCGCACTGTACTCATCCAATTCAGAGCATTTTTTTTAGCCCAGTGCCACACTTTACCACACTCACCGTCGCGACGGATTCCGCTGTCATGGCAAATGGGATTCTTGCACTTATGGCATTTATTCATTTTCGCGCCTTATTGTTTTTGCCACCTCACTGCACTTTTATGTCTCTTAGCTCTATTTATTTGTTTGTTTAAAAGAAATGTGATAAATTTTTGTGCTTGCAAGTAGCACAATTTATTCGCACTTTGATATTTAAGTCACTGTCTCTAACGCTGGTTAAAATCCTACAATTCGGCTGTTTTTTTAAATTTTCCGCAGATCGATTACAAACACGCCAACAAAGTTGCAGCGTTGCCACTGTATGGAAGAATATGTTTGCTTTCTAAATAATACAAATTTTCTTAGCATTGATTATGCACTTTTTCCAAAAAAGGTTACTTTATAAAAAATATATATTTTTTGGTTTTTTAATATTTTTGGCTTAAATATGTAAACAAGCATACACATTTTATATATCAAGTTTATGACAAATTAATTGGCATTATTTAACCATCCTCACCTTTTTAATTGGTTACGTAGTTTAAAAAATATTAATAATTTTAAATATCAGAATTTTTTTGTTTAACCTCATATCTTTTTTACTTTTCATTTGGGCATGCCTAAGGAATACCGACCCTTGGGCTAGAGAAAAAAGAACATGACGTGGTGCACCCCTTTCTGCTGAGTTTAATGGTAAACTTTATTTTGGTGCAAATTGACAGGGCCGGCGCTTGGGGGGCTAAACGTGGAATTTTAAACATTTTCAAAAGCTTATATTTTGAAAACTACTGAACCGAGTTTCAAAATATGGACACAGTTGGAAAGGCCATTGAAGGACCTTTCATTCAACATATATATATCTATGTAAATAATGCAAACATATTTTGAGAAAAAGTAAAAAAAAACGGAATTATGGCAATTTTTTTTATAAAAATGTATGTTTTTCGTAAAAAATACGTAATTAACTATATTAACAAATATGTTTATCGGAAAGACCATAAAAATACCTTTAATTTGGCGTATACTTTTATATAGTTAGGTTTAGGTACAACTGCCAGCAGTGCAATAAAACAACTGTATTAATGTTATATGTTCTTTGCAAAAGGTATTCAGCCCCTTTTATTTGGCAACTCAGAAAGAAGAATTCTACGTAGTGAGGGTTATAATCCCTAAGCGCGGCCGAAGGTCGCCTACGCAGAAAGGTGTTTTCTGCAAAAGGTGTTCAGCCCCTTTTATTTGGCAACACAGAAAGAACCATTCTACGTAGTGAGGGTTATAATCCCTAAGCGCGGCCGAAGGTCGCCTACGCAGAAAGGTGTTTTCTGCAAAAGGTGTTCAGCCCCTTTTATTTGGCAACACAGAAAGAACCATTCTACGTAGTGAGGGTTATAATCCCTAAGCGCGGCCGAAGGGCGCCTACGCAGAAAGGGGTTTTCTGCAAAAGGTGTTCAGCCCCTTTTATTTGGCAACACAGAAAGAACCATTCTACGTAGTGAGGGTTATAATCCCTAAGCGCGGCCGAAGGGCGCCTACGCAGAAAGGGGTTTTCTGCAAAAGGTGTTCAGCCCCTTTTATTTGGCAACACAGAAAGAACCATTCTACGTAGTGAGGGTTATAATCCCTAAGCGCGGCCGAAGGTCGCCTACGCAGAAAGGTGTTTTCTGCAAAAGGTGTTCAGCCCCTTTTTTTTGGCAACACAGAAAGAAGAATTCTACGTAGTGCGGTTTATAATCCCTAAGCGCGGCTGAAGGCCGTTTCCGCAGAAAGGAATCTACGCAAAAATACTGTGGATAGCGTAGCTTGATTAATTATCCATTAAATTCTACAACTCAATCTTATAACAAATAAGGCGATTAAAAAAAATGGTTTGTATATACATATTTATTTAGTATTTTTTTCACTTTTCCCTTTTCATATAAAACTATGTTTTTATATATATTTAGTCAAATATGATATCCACAAGAATTTTTTGCTACAAGTTATATATCAAATTAACGGTATTTTTGTGCTCTTTCTGATAAACATATCTGTTAATATAGTTAATTACGTATTTTTTTAAAGAACTACATATATTTTGATAAAAAAAAAGCCATAATTTCGTTTTTTATTATTTCCCGCAACGTGTATAAATTATATACATAGACATATATATCGAATGAAAGGCCCTTCAATCGCCTTTCCTACTGTGTCCATATTCAGAAAGTCGGTTCAATAGTTTTCGAAATATAAGCTTTTGAAAATGTTGAAAATTCTACGTTTAGCCCCCCCTATCGCCGTCCCATTCAATTCGCACCGAATTCTAGCTCGAAGGTCAGTATTCTTTAAGTATTCCTTCATCTGCGCCAAATAACATTTATATAGTTGAAATCAGAGTAAAAAGTACCATCGATCTGAATTTTTAGTTTTTGCATACCTGAACGCCTGGTTATTTTTACGTATGCCTTTCTATATAGCAATCGCAAAAAGTGAAGTAATAACGAAGTTATTAGTCAAAATAAAAAGGTTCAAGTTCACGCTCGCATTGAACTGTATAGCGAGCATACTTGGTTTAACACGACCGTTGGTAGGTGGAGACCACGCGTTAGGAGACACGATGTAGGCCCCTAATTATATGCACATGTATGTTAACATCAAGGCTAACTTTAATTTGGAGTCATTCTGCAATACTTAAAATAATTAGTAACGCATCTTAAATATTAAACAAACTTGAAATGGATGAAGAAACTATGTGGAAGAATATGTTTGAAAAGTTGAACGAATTAAAAGTTAATCCGCCAACAGAGCACGAAAGCAGGTATGTGTAAGTGTACGTGTACCAGTTTTAGTCCGAAGGTATTTTGCTGGTAAAGCGCCACGGAGACAATCAAATAAATACGTCAAGCATTGCGTATGGGTGAGTGTCAAGGCGCATCTATACAAGGTGGTGTTATAGGGCTTTCCATGAACCAAAAATACAAGAGGAGCGTTCCTTATCTCCCAGAAATAGTCAGAAAAAGTCTGAAGTAGTCAGATTTAGTCCAAAAAGCGTTCCTTAACTCGGAAATGACAGCAAAAATGAGAGAGCAACAGTCAGTGAGAGTGACTCTCATCAGTCCGAAGTAGTCAGATTTAGTCAGAAGAATTTTTTCTGGCAAAATCCTGAAAAGTGTCAAACTCAACTGAATTTAAATTAACGGAAATTAAAGAATACGCTGAAAGTGAGAATAATCTAAAACGTAAAAGAAATGAATTGAAATTGGAAGAAGGCAAAAAATAATTGATATAGCAAGTATTTATTGTGCTTGTGCTTGTGTGAATGTGTTTTGTACATACATTTCTGTTCTTATTTGACGTTAGTTTTGTTGTTGCCATT